CGTTTCCATCACAGAACTTCCAGGGAACATACGCCTTCCCCTTCAAACATATGTTCCGAGGGGAATGTTTGTCTAGAAGCTACTAGGTTGCAGTGAGGACTGAAACATAAACTCTGAGAGGAAAATGACAATGAGTTTTACATCCAGGCAATGAACCAAGCACATTTCTGAAGTTTGGCCAGTTAGAGCTGGCCAATCCATAATCTGTTGCCACCCATTTGATCTCAGAGAAGAGTTCAGTATGCAGTGAGGTTGTCTGTTCACTGCACCAACACACAGACCCCAGGCCCTCTGGAAGCTCGTCTTCTAAAACTGTCACACCAGCACCGACACTGCTATTAGACGTGGTGACTGTGCCCACTGTTTCCCTTGAGAACAAGAATTCTAAATGGCGGTATCATGTGATGATTAAAAAAAAAAAAAAGTGAGCCCAGGCACCGTGGCTCATACCTGTAATCCCAGCACTTTGGGAAGCTGATGCAGGAGAATTGCTTGAGGACAGGAGTTCAAGACCAGCCTGGACAACATAGCAAGACCTTGTCTCTACAAATAAATAAAAAATTAGCGAGGCATGGTTGTGGCACACCTGTAGTCCCAGCTACTCCGGAAGCTGAGGAAGAAGGATTGCTTGAGCCCAGAGTTCGAGGCTGCTGTGAGCTATGATCTCACCACTGCACTTCAGCCTGGGCAACAGAGTAAGATCATGTCTCAAAAAAAAAAAAAAAACCAAAACAAAACACCTTTTTAATATGAAACCTGGCTAAAATTATTTAGTTTTAAGATTTGAAAACTGCCTTTGTTTTGTCAGGTAACCTTGCCAGTGCTACGGTTTCTTTTAAGTACGATATGGAAATCTCCCTGAGTCTTCCCCTGGATTTTGCTTTTCGAGTTCACTCACTGTTACCCCTGACATGCGGAGGCTGCCTGTTGCTCTTGCTGTCTCACTTCCCATGAATCAATCCAGAGAGCTTGTGTGTCTTCGAGAGGCCTTAGGGCCATGAGCCCTCTGCAGTCTCGGGCAGAGCAGGACATTTCCTCTACCTGGGGCAGCGCCTCCATTAGCAGGAGCTTCTTCAGCCTCAACAGCAACTGCACACAGGAGCAGATAAGGGGAGGATGTTCCAGGTTGAGAATATCACATGGTACTAGAGAATACTCAAACCATCCAGTACGATGCTTTTAAAAAATATCCTATTGATTGGCTGGGTGCGATGGCTCACACCTGTAATCCCAGCACTTTGAGAGGCCGAGGTGGGCAAATCACTTGAGGTCAGGAGTTCAAGACCAGCCCGGTCAACATGGCCAAACCCTGCCTCTACTAAAAATACAAATACAAAAGCTAGACTGGAGTGGTGGCCTGCACATAATCCCAGCTATTCGGGAGGCTGAGGCAGGAGGATCACTTGAACCTCAGAGGCAGAGGTTGCAGACAGCCTAGATCTCACCACTGCACTTCAACCTGGGCAACAGTGAGACTCCATCTCAAAAACAAAAAAACAAAAAAACAACAAAAAAAAACCAAACTAGCGATTTTCTTGCATGTGTGAAAGTATATTTATCTTTTTATGAGTTCTTTTTTAGCAGATTCTAATATTTGGTTTTTTTAGCTACTTGTAATGGCTATAATAAATTTTAAATATTATCATGTTACCAAATATTTATATTGTCTCACTGATCAAAGTGTCTAGTTCATAGAAATGCAAGTTACTTCCTTAAAGTCAGACTGAGTTTCTGTACCACAGCCTTTTATTTAAAGACATTTAATTGAGATAGAATTTTTAAAAAAACTGGACATGTTTGTTGTGTGAAATTTGATAAATTTGACATACGTGTACATCTGTGAAATCCTCGCTGCAATGAAATTATGAGTTAATTAATCTGAAATGATTTTTTGGCCGTGTGCAGTGGCTCACACCTGTAATCCCAAAACTTTGGGAGGCCGAGGCGGGCAGATCACTTGAGGTCAAGAATTTGAGACCAGCCTGGCCAACATGGTGAAACCCTGTCTTTACTAAAAATACAAAAATTAGCCAGATGTGGTGGTGATTCCTGTAATCCCAGCTACTCAGGAGGTTGAGGCATACAAATCGCTTAAACTCAGGAGGCAGATGTTGCAGTGGATCGAGATTGCATCCTGCACTACAGCTTGGGTGACAGAGTGAGACTCTGTCTCAAAAAAATAATATAAAATAATGTTTAATGTCCCTTAGCAATCCCTCCCTCCTCCTCTCTCCAACTGTCCTTTTTCACCACTCTGAAATACGCTACTAATCTTTAAATGCATCTCCAAAATTGGCGCACTAAAAGAACAGCAACAAAAAAACTATATCTGGGTTGACATTACAAATATATAGCTCATACATGTGTCTCCTGTTGCTTTCCCTCCCTGAAAAAAACCTTGACAAAAATGTCTTCTCATGAGATTGAATAGAATTGGAAAGTTGTCAATCGCACATCAGCCAGATGTGACGTTTAAAAAATAAGGACCCCCAAATCCTTAGACACTACCTCCATGGAGAAGTGGGGTTCTGTTCCCCTTCCCCTTATATCTGGGCAGGTTTGTATCAACTTCAACCAATAGAAGAAAACAACGCTTTGTAATTTCTGAGGCTAGGTCAGGAAAGGCTGTGCAGCTTCCCCCTTGGTTCTCGCGAAATATTCTCCTCTGGATGCTTCTTCGCAGACCCAGCTCCATGCTGCGGGAAGCCTGAGCTCCATGGAGATGCCACGTGTCAGGGCTCAGGTTGACAGCCCCAGCTGAGCCCAGCCTTTGAGTGATCCAGCCCAGGCGCCAGACATGCGAGTGAGGAAGCCTCCAGATGATTTCAGCTCCCAGCTTTTTGAGTCACCCTTGGCCATTCACATCTTCCCAGCTGAGACCCCAGACACTGTGGAGCAGATGCCAGCCACCCTGCTGTGCCCTGTCCAAATTCCTGACTCATCATCAGTGAGCATAAATAAAATAGTTGTTGTTTTCGGTCACTGCATTTACAGAAAACGAGAATATAAGAAATAATGGAGAGGAGGAAGGTGAGTTTCTGAAGAAAATAAAGGTGGCTTCGTACATTCCAGCCAAAATGATCCAAAAGAATAAAAGATACTCAAAAGCCATTGCCACATCCTGGCTTTGTCTGATTCAACGGTAGGCACAGCCACTTAGAGGATGACAGAAAAGGTGGCTTTATTGGATCTGCAGCACACTGAAAATTTAGAAGGACAGAAAAATGTAGGATTGTGGCACTAGCTCTATATAAGTTCTCATCAGAATGAAATCATGACAACATATAATCAGAATAAATGTGCAATCTTTCATCCTGTTAAAAAAAATAAACTGAACAACGTGGCATGGGGAAAATGTAATTTAGTACCAGCAAAAGAGATAAAGGGTGTGTGTGTTGAGAATAAGCTTCATGTGGACCAGGAGCACAAGGAGGTTGCCTCGAAAAATAATGTGGTACCAAACTGCGTGAACAGAAAGGGAGAGCCCGGGTGTGGTGGCTTACGCCTGCAATCCCAGCACTCTGGGAGGCCGAGGCAGGTAGATCTCCTGAGGTTAGGAGTTTGAGACCAGCCTAGACAATATAGTGAAACCCCATCTCTACTAAAAAATACAAAAATTAGCCAGACATGGTGGCAGGTGGCTGTTAACCCCAGCTACTTGGGAGGCTGAGGTAGGAGAATTGCTTGAACCCAGGAGGCAGAGGTTGCGGTGAGCCAAGATCGCGCCACTGCACTCCAGTCTGGGCGACAGAGCGAGACTCCGTCTAACAAACAGCGAGGGGTGAGTAGCCAGAATAAGGAATTGGATGGGCCACCCAGTGATTCTCTTCTGCTCCCTGGAGTTGAGAGAGTATTCTCTTTCATTCTGCCCATTTCTCTGACACTATGCACCACGGTAAAATGAGGATATGTGTGAAAACATCTCATGTGCGAAATGAATGGAAAACCTGGAGGATTACCTTAGAAAAGAGAAAGCGCGTAAGTTTCATAACTCTTCGAAGGAGGCAAGTAAAGTGATAGAGGATGAGAACCCTTCTGTATAGCCCGAAGGAAAAGACTATGACCACTACGGGTAGACCCTGTAGGAGCTACATACATTATATCAACAGAAAAAAAGAACTTTACAGAGTCAAAGTCATCCAAATTTGGAACTAAGCGCCAAGCCCCATAGTGAATGTCTCAAAATGAAAGTTACTTGGCAGAGATGGCATCGAGAGGCATTAAAGAACAAAATAACTTTAATGGTCATTTAACCACTGGGATTCTCTGATTCTTTAGGAGATCATTTACAGTTCAATTGCTTGACTAGCATTTCATATATTTCCTTATTTGTCTATTTGTCTGCTAAATAATTATTGAGTGCTTATGCCTATGTAGGGGATTGGATGACTAAAACCTCAACCCTCTCCTTCAGAACCTTGTAGCATAGTAAATGACTTGCAGCCAAATATTGAAGTTAAAAGCAGAAGAGAAAAACTTGCAAAGGAAGGAGAGCTGAGTTGCTTTGAGTCACATGTAGAGTGCAGTGCAATGTTATTGAAATTTTTCACAGCTGCATTTTAATGGTTTGCTGAGATCGACACCGAGACGCACAGTCTAAATCTGAATTTCACATCACTATCTCATTTGCATCAGCTTCAAGCTCAATATTTGGATTCTGTTTGAGAAATATATAAAACCTATATTGACATTTTGTTTTAGAAGCATTCATTCAGAGCTCTCCCATTCCCGTATTTTCTGATTTTGATTCTCAGAATAAAAAAAAAAAAAAAACCTTTAGAAATAGGAGGTACTAATGAATTGGGAAGGTTATTTACTGTGGTTAAGGAGAAATGAATAGAAAAGTAGGACAGCCCCCAGGGTGTTCCAACTAAACACAATGATTGCAATATTTACCACTAAACTAAAAATATGCCATTAATTGTAACTATCATCTTAACGATCATTATATTGGCTTGCTCAGGAGAACTCTCAATCTCATATAAATTTAAGGGACTTACTTAAGGTTAGTTTAGTTTCAAGCGTATTGTCTGTTGTCTTATTGCAGCAGTGAAATTTTCTCTCTCCTGCTCGAAAGTGCAGGCTATGGGGTGTTCTGACAGTTGCCATCAGGGCCGTTCCCTGGCCAGCTGTCAGAGGTGTCTCTCCCCTGGAGGCGGCACGCGTCAAGAAGTGACACGACGTGCTGCTCCTGGCAGCGCAGCCACCAGAGTGGGCAGAGTGACGAGGCAGCAGCCCTGGCATCTCGGGCAACCAGCTTCAGACAGCACCTCAGCTCCACCTGGGAAAGCAGAACAAGGACAGAGAGGAACCGAGGTCCATCTTGGCTTCTGGTTTGAGAGAGTTTAGCGGTTTGTCTAGTTCCTCTTCTCGTCCACAGCTGCAACCACACACTGCTGTCACGTGGCTGTTCCGACCAGAGGGAGGGCACTACTTTTTGAAGTCTCCTCATTCTTTTTCTGAACATGCTCTCTGTATATCGAAATGAGACTGGACCCTGTAATGACCCTGTAATAACTCATCCCTGATGACGTCACAGCCCGGCCCTCTGCAGTTTGTCCCCCTGGCAGTGTTTAAACCATGTGGAAAGTAGCTAGCACGTCTACTTCTCTGCATCCAGTCCTCTCTATCCAGGCTAAACAACCCCAGTTTCTTTGTTCATCCCTTTTTTTTTTTGAGACGCCATCTAAAAGGAAAGGAAATTTGAACACCACTGTCGCACATAATTTCACCAAGGAAGAAAAAGAAGGGAGGCAGTGTACAACGAAATCTTTGCTGCTGCTTACATATTCTGTGATAAAATGGGATGTACAAACCATTCCCTCCATAATAAGCCATATTCACATTCATAGTCTGTAACCTGAAGGAGATAACTATCTATGTTTTGAAGTCTTTGAAATCCAATGTCTATGCCTAACTGTGCTAAATATTAGCACAGTTTTAATGATACTTTTGTTTAATTCTAACGTCTCAGTCATATTTTGATCATCAGTACAACCAAAATGTCTTAAATGGATTATTTTCTGAACCAGGAAATTGTCAGGAAGGAAAATAGGCCACATCATAATCATGACAGTGGTGAGATAATTTAATTTAATCATAGTCACCTCCTGATGATGTAGTTATAATTATTCCCACTTAACAGATGAGTAAACTGAAGTCAGAAGGATAAATAGAAGTATAAGTTACTTGCATGAAGTCAGAGAGTTAGTCTGATGGAAACGTGTTCACCAAACCCACTTCCTCTTCTTTCTGGGATCAACCACATTTTCCAGGCTTCCTTGAAGTTCAAGCCAATGGAATACGAATGGAAGCAATGCATGCCGTTTTTAGGTCTGACCCATGTTTTAGAATGCCTCTCACCCAAACCCCTTCCTCTTTCTTCTTCCCCTCGTGCAATACAGATGAGCGCCTGACCCCGCAAGACAACTGTGAAATACGGCAGAGTTACAAGAATAAAAGATGTGACTTACTAAGCTGGAAGAAGGGCCTCCCAGTAATCAGAAACATACTTTTTGAACTTAACGTGTGTCAGAATGAACTTCTTTTTCTTAAACCACTGAAACTGACATTTTTGTCTATTACGGCCACCAATGTTACTCTGATTAAGACACATAGGAATAGCAAACCCAGGTCTGTCTGAAATGAAAGTGCATGTTAAGTAACTGAACCATCCAAGCCTCAGGCTCCTCCTCTATAAAGTAGGAATAATGGTAATATCTGTTAATACCCCATAGGGTTACCTTGACTGTTACATGAGATGATGCTGGTAAAGTGCATAGCAGGATGCCCAACAGTTACTGACTGAATAAACACACTGCAATGATCAACATTATTACTACATTGTGCTTCCACAAAACCATATCTGCCTCCAGAACTGCTTTGTAATCCCTTTATACAATAGTGGCATTATCTGTGCTGGTTCCTTGATTGAGCAGTCTAAATTTTAACTGGTAAATTCTTTCTCATAATCTTTCCTTTACCTAGATGTTCTTCTCTGTAATTCTATCCTTAGGTTAATACAATGTTATGTAAAAGAATGAAAACTTTAAAAATTGATTACTAGTACATAATCCACTTTTTTCAGATAAAAAATACTCTTCCTTCTTTGTCATGATCTTGAAGCTCATATTACCAAATATAATGATATATTACCTAGGAGATAAAATTTGACTGATTGGCTAAAATTTTCAAGTAACTTTATTTCAACTTCTGAAACAATCATTTCATTTAAGGTCTGAAATATTCTTCTAGAGCAATGTATCTCAAACTTTAATCTGCAGATTAATCATCTGGAGAGCTTGTTAAAGTTCAAATTCAGGATGAGAGCTGTGGCTCACGCCTGTAATCCCAGCACTTTGGGAAGCTGAGGCGGGTGGATCACTGGAGGTCATGAGTCCAGACCAACCTGGCCAATGTTGTGAAACCCCATCTCTACTAAAAACATGAAAAATTATCTGGACCTGGTGGCGCATGTTTGTAATCTCAGCTGCTCAGGAGGCTAAGGCAGGAGAATCTTTTGAACCCAGGAGGCAGAAGCTGGAGTGAGCAGAGATTGCACCACTGCACCACTGCACCACTGCACTTGAACCTGGGCAACAAACCTGTCTCAAAAAAACAACAACAACAAAAAAATGCAGATTCAGTGGCGCCAGGGTGGAGACAGAGATTTTGCAGTCCCAGCCAGCTTCAAGTGATGCTGATGTTGCTGGCCTAGGACCACATTTGGAGCAGGAAGAGTTGTAGAAAAAATATTCATCAGCTGCCTGTATGGTTGTGTTTCATTTAATTCATGCCAGGTAATAAACTCATTCTATGCAAAAGCCAGCAAAAGAGAAAACTAAGCCATTCAACAAATAAGAAGAGAAATTAATAGGTCTTTTAGGCTCCGAATAAGAAAAGTCACAGGAGAAAATAGAACTCCATTTTCAAAAGATTTAAAGAGAAATAATCTCATAGCCTTTTAACATATTAATAAGGAAATAAAGAAATACATCAGGAATGAGAAGGGTGAGAAGAAATGTTGTCTTTTATTAGAGCAGTAGTTCTCAAATTCTCAAATTTAGCATGCATCAGAATCATCTTAAAACACAGACAATGGGCCAGGCGTGGTGACTACGCCTGTAATCCCAGCACTTTGGGAGGCTGAGGCAGGCTGATCACCTGAGGTTGGGAGTTCAACATCAGCCTGACCAACATGGAGAAACCCCATCTCTACTAAAATTACAAAATTACCTGGGCATGGTGGCACATGCCTGTAATCCCAGCTACTCGGGACGTTGAGACAGAAGAATCGCTTGAACCCGGGAGGTGGAGGTTGCAGTGAGCCAAGATCGTGCCATTGCACTCCAGCCTGGGCAACAAGAGTGAAATTCCAGCTAAAAAACAAAAACACCACTGACAATGATTCTGTGGTCTGGGACAGCCTGATGATTTGCATTTCTTACAAGTTCCCAGGTAATGCTGTTGCCCCTGGGCAGGGAACAGAGCTTCGAGAAACTGCATTAAGAGACTGGGGAAACTGCATTCAGATACTGACAGATGACATGAAAAAAATCACTACCTTCTATCTCAGTATCTATATAAGACTGTGGGGCAGCCCTGTAATAGAAGAAAGAAAAATGAACCAAAATAAGAGAAACAGTTAAAATCCATTTGAGGTCCCAACAACTTGAACTACATACACTTAAGAACATGTTCAAAGTAGTTTCAGGATCATCAGCTATCGTTTTCTAGATTTTTTGAAGGGTAAATGATTTGACCGAAGCAGGAATGGAACAACTTGGTTTCTTTTTCTAAATGGAAAAAGGAGTGACCCTGAAAAACCCTGGGCTTCTAAGTTTAACTTCGCTACATAGGAACTTAGGGGGAAAAGACCGAGGAAATAATCACAAAATCTATTGTCAAGGCCTTGAAAAGAACGGGGCATTGAGTAATAACAAGGATGGCTTTCCAAAGAAAACGTGCTTTCCTACCGTTTTAGATTTGAAAAGGATCTTAAAATCACATGATCCAGGCAGCTTATTTTAAAGATAAGAAAACTGATGTACAAAGAGATTTTTGTCCTCAAGGTCATACAGCTCGTTGGCAGCAAATATAGGCAAGGATCCAGTCTCTTGGGCCATTCACTGTCCTCACCATCCTGAAGCAGCTGTGTGTTCTGACGACTTCCACTGGTAGCCTCAGCTGCACCTAGGTCTTGAGCTAGTCTGATGAGGACAGGCCACATATTGGGAGTCCCTGGGTGCATCATGGCGAGGTCAGCTGAGGCCTGGCATCCAAAGAACTCATCACCAGCCTTATGCCATATGCCACAACAGCCATCCAGACTCTTTTGGTTATCTGGGACAGAGGTGGCAGAGAGGCAGCTGGCTGTCCTGAGAAAGGCGGCATCTAACTGTGCTGACTTTAACAAGACTGTTCATTCTGTTTGTATAATTGGCTCATCAGTACCCCAGGGAAAAATCACCTAAAGTGTACGTTCATTCAGCCCAAAAAAGTAAGTGCTTACTATGCCCAAGGAGGCACTGCAGTGAACAATGTGGAGCTTCAATCGGAAATAGATTTCTTTATCCTCAAATGCTCAGTGGGTACATGGCTTATCAGACTAAGCCAGGAGAATAGGGTCTGGAGCCAGGGAAACTAAGACCCTTTCCCACTGACTTCCTGGAACTAAATTGAAAGGAAAACCCTAATTTTCCATGTCTAAGTAACATAAGGACCAGAGGCCACTCCCTTTGCAAACCCCCACCTTTTCTGTGTGGCAGATGGGAAATTGAAAGTACTTCTGATTGGTTGCTTTTTGCAAGCAATCAGATGTTTGCATAGGAGTGTAACTTTATAACTTTACTTCTGCCTCTGATTGGTTGGGGAAAGCAACCAATTGTGAGCCAAGTCTTCCTTTGCATAGAAGTACAACTTTGTAACTTCACTTTAGCCTCTGATTGTTTGCTTTCCGCAACCAATAAGATTGCTTGGCACTGCTTCATTTACATGGGGTGAACACCAAATGACCAATGGAAGACGTCTAAGAGGGTATTTAGACCTGAGAAGATTCTGTATCCTGGACCCTTGAATAGCTGCTCGGCCCGCTCCCACCCTGTGGAGTGTACTTTCGTTTTCAATCTCTGCTTTTGTTGCTTCATTCTTTCCCTGCTTTGTTTATGCATTTTGCCTAATTCGTTGTTCAAAACACCAAGAACCTGGACACCCTCTATGGGTAACAAGATGATTGTACATTGTTGTGTCATCAAATGGGCACTCCAGATTCATGGAACAGCATGAGTGTATTCCATGCTTAGCATAGCACTTAGCATAGCCTTGGCAAACAGTG